CAAACCTATTCGAGATCTGACTTAGTTTGGAAAAAAATTGAGATCTGTCCCTTTGCTACCGCCAGGGACCATGGCGGTAGGGTATAACAGCCTATCGCCAAGGACCCTGGCAGTAGGGTTGCATGCCCTACCGCCAAAACCCGTCTAAGTATTGAACACAGTATGTGCTCGTGTCTACCGCCAAGCACCTTGGCGGTAGGGTTGTGCAGACTACCGTCAGCTCGTTTGGTGGTAGAGATGTTTTCTACCGTCAAAGTCTCTAGCGGTAGGCTGTTAGACCCTACCGACCTGGTCTCTGACGGTAGCAAAAGGATCAGATCTCGAAAAAAATTCAACTTAGGATCAAATCTCGAATAGGTTTCGAAAAAGGGTCAAAACATGAAATTTTGCCGGCCCTGAATACCTGCACCAACACGGCTGCCCCTATTTCTTCCTTGGTGAAAGATCGTACTCCCTATTGTCTTTTTTAGTTTGCATATATATAAATTTTATCTGAAATTAAATCATCTCTATTTTAATCAAGCTTGTAGAAAAATATTAACATTCATAATGCCTAATTAATATCATTAGATTCTTTATAATATGTAATTTCATAGTATATATATTTGATATTGTAGATGTTGGTATTTTTTAATATAAATCACAAATCTAATACGTGAAGTAAAAAGGACCGAAGAGAGTACAAATTTGCGAGTTTATATCGATACTGCCGAATGCTTAGATTTTAAAGATCTGGGTTGAACGTCCTTTTCACCGCTAGATTTTGAGCACGCATGCTAAAGCAGAGAACACAACCACGTTGGCAAATGAGATCTTTCGGTAAAATGGAAGTTGTCGTCGCAAACGCCTCCCGGATCCTATGTTCCCTTATCCATCCACACGACCTCCCCGAGCATGCTAGACAACGATGTTGCAAACCTGCACGGGGATTAATTCCTTGCCTATCCTACAGAGTTGTCGCTTGCCTTACCCGATGGTTCTTGATTTTGGTTATGGTCGGCGCATGAAAAGAAAGAGGCAGTATACTATGTCAGAGCTTTGATTTAGCAAGCAAACATCACATGCTCAACTATTTTTAGTCTTAGATGATTATTGGTATACGACAGCTGTCACTTGTTCTATCGAGCAGTCCTTGGTTTTGTTTCTGATCAGCGCATGGAATAAAATAGGTAGAATACTACGTCAGAGCTTTGATTCAGCAAACATTACATGCTCTACTATCTTTTAGTGTTTAGATGATTATTAGCACCCAAGAGTATATTTTAACAAGAAACGGGCAATTTCAAACAAACAAAAAACTTCAAATGTTGCATTCTTCATCAAAAAATACGTCGAACTACTAAACTTGACACATCTGTCGACCCTGATCGAATGCAGCGAACACACCATTTTTGAACTTTCACCGTGCAATCATATTCAATTAAATCCAACTTGCACTAAACGAGACATTGTACTCTCGACACGCTTCGGCAAAAAAAACTCCTAGGAGCTAACCACCATGTAGGTTGCACTGGTTGTCGCGGGAACCTTACTTTGCTCCCTGCATTAACATGTGAAAAATAAAATTGTGAATCTTTTATAACGATGAGTCGGAGAGCAAGCAAATGACAATAAAGGGGTCAATAAGAAAAGCGACCAATCAAACTGGCCAGAGAACAATGGTGCTCCAGGACAGGAGGGACTGCACTCAAACTCGCTTGCAAAAAACATCTCCGAACACGGCACCTGAAAAGCCAATACATGGCACAGACACAAATTGAACAGCCTGGTTCCCTAATGGCTATGAATACAACAAAAAGAGAAAACATTGGCTTAAATGGTAGACAAACATTAGCTTAAAAAGTTAAGGAAACTAATAGAAAGAAACTCCTACAGAACCATCTGAACCCACAACGTTAACCCATAGCAGCCGACATTGCATGTCCCATCCCACGTCAGCCAACCGAGCACAAAGCAACATAGTACCTGAACACATAGGCATACTCGCGCGAGACGGACGTTAACGCACAACCTTCTGGTCGGCTAGATGCACAACCTTTTGGCCGACTAGACGCATGGCCTTCTGGCTGGGTAGACGTATGCATCCACCAAGCAGGCCCAAGTGGTGTGCCCCACACTCACCAAGTAGGAAGGTGAGTACTACCTTGATGGGCAAGCACCTTCGAGCCCAAGTACCTGGGAGTCTGGCCGGGCAGACACACGGCCTTCTGACCGGCTAGACGGATGCATCCACCAAGCAGGTCCTAGCGGTGTGCCACATACCCACTGATGAGGTACCTATTATAGGTAGGGTCAAAGACCCATTTGGGACCCACATGGGGCCCATCACCACCATGGGTAGGTCCCTGTGCCATACCAGCATACGGATGCATACATCAAGAAGTCCACTCGGGCGGCTCAGCGACACTCGGACAACCACCCGCCACTCGGCTGACGGACCACCACTCGGACCAAGGAGGCAAGCGGGCGGTGTGGGAGCTGCAACGGTCGAGGAATCCTAAGTCATCCATTAAACAGAGTCAAGGCACCCGTTACCTGTAACTGCCATAGTAGAGGCTCATCACACCTGTAACGGATGCATTTAGTGTCATTTAATGCCCTGCAACATGGAGAACACGGGGCTGCGGCGCACTCTATATAAGCCGCACCCCCTCCATGACCGGGCACGAGCAACCTTTGTAACCATACCCAACAAATCAAAGCAAACCTCAAGGCATGAGACGTAGGGCTATTACCTCTGCCGAGAGGGGCCTTAACTCATTAAACACCCGAGTGTTACACCTGCGTCGTAGCTAGGTTCTGCCCCTATTCGTACCCCTAGTACTCATTGTCAAAATCGTAACCCTAACAGTTGGCGCCCACCATGGGGCTAGGCGTCTAGCAAAATGTCACGGCGTAGGTGGATTTCTCCATCATCATGTTAGTCGGCGGCGAAATCCATTTCGGGACGCCTCTCGTTCATCATCGACGACTCAGCGTGGCTTCGCGAGGCCCCGCAGGACGTGGAGGCGCTGCCCACCCACGACACAACACACTTCCATGTGTCTTCGTACGGAGTCCTTCTCTGGCAGCCCTCGGCTCCGTAAGAGTGGCCGCTCACCCTCCCATCGTGTGACGCCACAAGCGTTTCGGGCGCTCGCGGTTGCAGCGCTGGATTAAGCACTGTGTGGCAATCCAAGCCACGTTAGAACATGTGGCGGCTCTCGAATTCGGCGAGCCCGCCCTCGACCTCTTCGACGGGTCACTCGGCGATTCCTCCGAGGAGTTTGAGTGCGAAAGTGTTGACTCGACCGCCGAAATTCTCATGGCGGACAACTCTGAGCATCGCACACCCCAGGGATACACGGATGCCCGGGACAACCGCGCGGGTGCATCATACGGCAACACTGACGGCGGTGATGCAGGCCACGAGCCGTACGTGCCTCAAGCTCTCACCAGGGATCAGCGGGATGAGCTCCACCGCAAGAACAAATAGCTCCTAAACACCCCCATCACCAGGACGACCCTTGAGGCATCGGCCATGGAGTCGATTCGCCTGGCCACCCTGGCGGAGCGCGATCGCCTCGAACGGCTTCAGAGGGAGCTAGACGATCGTGAGCGCCATCAACCCAGCTCCAGTCGGCACAAGCGTCGGCTCTTCTCGAATGATCAGCCTCGTAAGTATCAAGTCCTCAATACTCCGCTACAAAATCTGGCAGCCGCCACTCAGATCACGGATTCCATCCAGCCCTCTGGTTCAGTAGCTAGAGAGGGGATTCGGCAGATCCAGGCGCTCCTGAAGACAACACTATCGCAGAATGCGGTGGTGTCTCACTCCAGAGATCGTATCCACAGCGCATTAGTGCGTGCGGAGACGGTCTAGTCAGCTCACATCCCACTCGGCTCCGGCAGGCGCCAAGTCACATCCTCCTCGAGAGATCACTATGAAAATCGGAGGCGCGATCGGGTTGTGTCTTTCCAACGGCATGACGACTTCGATCGCGCCCTGATGCCTCCACCGCGAGATGGTGCGTATGGGCGCCAGCCCTATGATGATAGACGGACGCACGACAGTGATCGTAGGCTGAGTCCCACTCGCCATACGAGGGACACCCAAGACCCGCAGTTCAACGCGAGATCCGTTCTCGCTCAGAACCTGGCCGATATGGGTCGGGCCTTGCGAGAAGGCCAAGATGCCGACATTTCGAGTGGTTTCGTACCCTCGGGCCCCGAGTGTTTCAACCGGTATATATGGGAGGTAGAGATTCCCAGCAACTTTAGGCTGGCCACGGGGATCAGCAAGTTCACTGGCGAGTCCAAGCTGGATATTTGGCTGGAAGATTACCGAGTGGCGGTTTAGATCGGCGGCGGCAACGATAATGTGGCCAGGAAACATTTGTCGCTGATGCTCGAGGGCTCTACTCAGGCCTGGCTGACACAGCTCCCGCCTGGCAGCATATACTTCTAGGATGATTTGGCGAGAGTGTTCGTCAAACTTTTGAAGGCACTTACAAGAGACCAGGTGGTTTGGCCGAGTTAAAGCACTACGTACAGAGGCAGAACGAGACTATCCGTGAGTTCATTCAATGGTGGACCATCTTGTACAACACGGTGGAAAATGTCATCGAGCACCAGACGATCTGCGCCTTCAAGGTCGGAGTCAGATACCGAGAGCTGAACATGAAGTTTGGCTGAACTGAGACCCTGACTCTCAATTGGGCTATGGAGATAGCCAATCGGTACGCCAACGATGAAGAGGAAGACTGTCACACCCTGATTTTCATGCCACAGCACTTAAGCTAATAAATCATGATAAA